GAAGGGAGGAAGAGAAGGATGAAAGGAAGGGAATGGAGGGAGGAAAGAGATAACATAGGACAGGCAAAAAGGAAGGAAGGAAGGAAGGAAGGAAGGAAGGAAGGAAGGAAGGAAGGAAGGAAGGAAGGAAGGAAGGGTAAAGAGAGAGGGAAGGAGGGAGGAAAGAGGAAAGGGAGGGAGGGGGAAAGAGAAGGATGGAAGGAAGGGAATGGAGGGAGGAAAGAGATAACGAAGGACAGGCAAAAAGGAAGGAAGAGAGAAGGAAGGAGTGAGGAAAGAGGGAAGGAAGGAAGAGAGGAAGAGAAGGATGGAAGGGTGGAAGGAAATGGAAGGAGGGAGGGAGGGGAGGGGAGGGAGGGAGGAAAGAGGAAAAGAAGGAGGAAAGAGGGAAGGAAAGGAAGAAAAAAGGGGAGGAAGAGAAGGATGGATGGAAGGAAGGAAGGGTGGAAGAGAATGGAGGGAGGGAGAACAGGGGAGGGAGGGAGGAAAGAGAGGAAAGGAAAGACAAAAGGGAAGGAATGAAGGAGAAAGAGAGAGAAGGAGGGAGGAAAGAGGGAAGTAAGGATGAAAGGGTGGAAGGGAAGGGAAGAGGGAGGGAGGGAGAAAGAGGGAGGTAAGGAAGGAAGGACAGAATGGTGCAAGGGAAGATGTGATGGAGAAAGGGAAGGAAGGGAGGGAGGGAGGGAGGGAGGGAGGGAGGGAGGGAGAAAGGAAAAAGAGAAGGATGGATGGGGTGGTGAGAGAGAGGAGGGCCTGAGAAGAGGCTGCATCCGGCCACCAGGCCTGTGTTTGCCCATACCTGGGCTATCCCATTGTTCAGGTGATTCTGCCTCTTCTCATTCCAGATTCTACTTTAATGTAGGATTTTTTGAAAACAAAAAAATCTTTCTCCCGTCCAACTCAGGTTGCCAAAATAATGTTTCCTTTCCTGGCTGCTGCCAAGCATGGATCCCATGCCTTGTGGTTCTGGCTGAAAGGCAACATCAGAGCATCTTGGTATTTCAGTCCAAATGCCATTTAGTTGGCAACAACTTACCAAAGGCTTGAGAGAGAGAGAAATAGGGCACAAAGGAAGGAGATTAATCTCGCTGCAAAAACACACAGCATCGCCCTGTTTCTCTTGCCTCGACTCTGCCCTGCAAGGCAGGTGCAGTCCGAAAGACTCCTCCACCACCGTTTTTGCACTGTGGTCAAAAGCGATGGAGAAGTTGCAAGCGTTACACAACCCGGTTCAGCTCAGGTCATACGACGCACTCCAGTTCCAGAACAGCTGTGGCTCCGTCTATGCCATGGCTAGCAGCTCGGAGTATCACTACCTCCCTCTGCTGCAGTAAGAAGGGAAGCTGGCAAGGGGAGAGGAGCAAGCAGAAGCCCCACCGAGAAATGCATCTTCATCCCATAGCTCTAGCTGCTATGACTCCTTACTCTCCTCCACACTCACCACGCTAGAAGCAAGCAAATCATGCAAAATCCCTGGAACTGGATGATTGACCCGTACCTATCACTCCCTTTCAGGACAACCCTGCTGGATCAGAACCTATCTCTTAGCAAGAGAGGATGGAGTCAAACGATTTTACGGTCTTGGCTAATACAGTTGTACCTTGAGTTAAGACTGTAATTTGTTCTTAACTCAAATCACTCTTATCTCAAAGCAAATTTCACCACTGAAATGCTAGTAATCTGTTCCACCCCACCCCCATTTTTGCATAGTTTCCAAAAGACCTCACAACATCTGAGGATGCTTGCTATAGATGTGGGCGAAATGTGAGGAAATAATGCTTCTCGAACATGGCCCGGAAAACTTACAGCAATCCAGTGATTCCAGCCATGAAATCCTTCGACAACATAGTTAAAATACATCGATAAAAAAATGTAAAGCCCTATATTCTAGCATTAGCACTTCCCTTGGTGCTCCTTCTTAACTCAAAATGCTGCTCGTATGTCAAAGCAAAACTGGGTCGAGCTATGGTTCTTAACTCAAAACACACTTAGGTTGGGACACTCTTAAGTCAAGGTTCCACTGTACTGCGTACTCTACCAACTTTAAAATGGTAAAAGCACAAAGGTGTGACAAAGAAGCACGAAGTGAAGAGGTAGAAGCATTATTTTCTTCCTACTGTACTCATTCCAGCCTCCCTCCCTCTCTTGCTCCCTTTCCCTCTTTCTCTTCATGAAGCCAAACAGAGCAGGAATAAAAACCATCCAAAATCAACTAACCCAAAATTCCTCAAAGTGGACAAGACCAAAGCAGACAGGAATCTCCCAAAGCAGACAAGGGCACAAGGCACAGAAGCTGCTCCCTTGAAGCCCTGAAGCCCTGGACTCTTGCGGTAGTGCTCCCTTTGCCACTTGCTCTTAACTCAAAATGTGGCTTGTATGTCAAAGCAAAACAGACGCTGAGTGACAGCTCTTGACTCAAAATGGGATGCTCTTAAGTTGAGGTTCCACTGTAGTGAGTACTCAGCCTGGAAGGAGCGATCTCAAGCACAGTTCTTTCCCACCGATTTAAGATTTAATCCAGTGGTGGAAATCACATATCCCTCCAGATGTTATTCGACATCTCCCAGATATAATGCAACACCTATGGCCAGTATAGAAACCGTTGTCAAATTCTGAGCCCGAGTATGTCTGGATCCCCAATTCGCTTTGCACCAATTTGTTTTGTCAGAGGAATCAGCCAGTACATGTGCTTGTTCGAGCTTTAAACAAACTGATTTGCAGACAGGTAAAGGCTTCCCCTGACATTAAATCTAGTCGACTCCCAATCTGGGGATGATGCTCCATTTCTAAGCCCAAGAACCGGCATTGTCCGTAGACACCTCCAAGGTCGTGTGGCCAGCATGACTGCATGGAGCACTGTTACCTTCCCGCGGAAGCGGTACCTATTGATCTACTCAAATTTGCATGTTTTCAAACAGCTAGGTTGGCAGAAGCTAGGGCTAACAGTGGGAGCTCACTCCACTCCCCAGATTTGAATCGCTGACATTTTGGTCAGCAGGTTCAGTAGCTCAGCAGTTTAACCCACTGTGCCACTGGGGGCTCCAGGTAGGTATCAGGTATATTTACATCTTTTGCCAGCTTACAACGTACAGTGATGCCTTTTAGGCTTTTCTTAACCTAAAAGACCTTGCGCTGCTCCTTGGAGGAGAACAAAGAAACCAATGCAATATACCATCTTTCGAAACGTCAAGGGTTTCGGACCTGGATCAGCTATGCAAATTGGTCACCAGGTGACCTTGGGCAAATCACACACCCTTCGACTTGGAGGACCCTATGATAGCTGCAGTCAACCTAAAGGCACCCAACAAGTATCAGATTTGGGTAAGAATTATGAGCACCCCAGGCCCCAGACAGATGCTTTGGTCCTACAAGCAACAAACTGTGAGGAAATGGCCATACAGCCCAGGAAACTCACAGCAACCCAGTGATTCTGGCCATGAAAGCCTTTGACAACACACTACGAGGAAATCGGTTGTGCGGCGATGGCGAGAAGTGTGCCAGAGCTCCCTATTTTCTACAGGGGGGTCCTTTCACTCCCTGCTCAAAATGGCCTTCCCGGGAAACCTGGATGCCTTCCAATCAAGTGACATGATTTGGAAATCTGGAGAGAGACCATCCCTGAGGAACCCACCGCCCAAGGTGTTATGGGTTGAAACAAAATCCAGGAAGGGCATCCAGAAGGCTGGAAAAGGCTCCTAGCTCAGTGCAAAGGGGTGCCGAAGGGGCAATAATTCGATATTTTTACCTAAAGGCAAAATTCTGACCCTGTCGGAAGAAAGGCCGGCGAAACACAAGGAAAGAGAGGAAGAAAACAGAGCCACTTGTAGAATTCACAAAGGGTACGACGGAAAGGGGAGGTCAGTTGCTAGGAACCCGTGTGACAGATTTCCTTGAAAACAGACCCTTCCGAGACCCCTCTGCTCTCTAGACGTTTGCTGCATTCTCCACCCCCTTTCGTCCTCTTCCAGCAGCCACATTGGTGCCTTTCGCCCCAAACACAAACCCTTCACAGCTCCCTCGCCTTGGTAGGATTCAAATGGTGAGAGGGGAAAGGAACAAAACACATAGAGACACGCACCAGACCTGCTTTGCAAAGCTCCTCGGAGATAACACCGCACTCCAAGAATGCAACAGCAAGGGGAGGAAGAGAAAATGCCGGCTTCCTGAGCATAATAGCAAGCTAAACCATTTCCATAGGGTGCAGTGTCAACAGGCTGCCTCCCCCCTCCACGAACACACGTAAACACACAACCACACGCTTTCTCCTAGCGCTATATGACTCGCAATGATTTTGAGCCCTTTGAGTGTTTTTCCCAAGGCTGCGAGCACATACATTCGGCTTGCTGTATGTGGAAGGGTCTATTCAGACGCACAAGCAGCTGATGTCATTTCAGCAACTGGGGTGGAAAGTATATATTCTCCCACTCCACCAGCGTTAGATAAGAGAGGCTCTTGGTCTATGGCAAATTCCTACCCCAGGGCCGTTTGTGTACGTTTTTAAAAGGGACAAACCTGTGGAATAAAGCCCACCGCTATATAAAAAGGGAAGGAAATAACCCCCAGACTAAAGGAACGGAGATAGCGAAAAGGAAGAGCTGCTGATTCAACCGCAGTGAACATTTCCAGATGAAGAATCGACGTTTGCACCGAGAGAGAGAGATGCACAAATGTGCATGCAAAGCACTAACAACATACCCTTTCAAGGAAGGGAGGGATGTGATCGGAAGACCCCAGGGTGCTGCAGTATTTATCCACCTTTCCATACTCAGCACCAGGCAAAATAATAACAATCTCAAAGCTCAACAGGGAATGGCAGCTCTCCTGGGCAACAGGAAAACAAGGACCTCTTGCTATCAGGGTATTTGTTTTTCAATATTACTTTTGCCTTGGAAGAAAATCATAAGCTATACATGAAGCCATAGACATGAAAGAGAGGAGATGTACGTAGGCAAATGAATGTAAGCCTACTGAAGAAGAGAGAGAGATGCCTGTCCTCTTACCTGGTTCTGCTTCTCTGCTGTGGTTCTGGAGAGGAGGCGGAGAAAGCGAGGCGGCGATGATGTTACAAGGGGGATAAGCAAGGACGACCACCCCAATCGGCATCCTTACAGCAACGGGCACCCAAGAAGAACTAAATAAAGGCCTCCCCACATCCCTACGAGAGGTGGCACTGCTCTAATATGAGCCAGGAATTGTCTTTTCCTCAGGCATCCACACTTCCTGGGGTTCAATTCCTCTTGCAACCCAGCATCGTGCCTTATTTTGCTCAGCCAATTCTGCCATCTCTTGAAAATCTAAAGCTATTTGCCTGTTCACGGGATACCTCCTCCTGTCTTGGCAATGCATCTATATGGGCTCTTGATCCAACGCGAATCAACACATCAAAACATGTTATTAATGGGATATTGCTTCCACCAAAACAATATCCTTCCTGACTCCAAGCCAGTGTTTCCCAATCTTCTCAATGCTGTGACCAATTAATACAGTTCCTCATGTAGTGGTGACCCCCAACCATAAAATAATGTGCCCTTGGTATCACATCCAGCTCTAGGATCCTTTCAGATTGGAGTGGATGGCCCTTGGGGCCTCTACCAACTCTAGAATTCTATCTATCTGTCTGTCTGTCTATCTAATGGGTTGGAGTTGATGACTCTTGGGGTCTCTTCCAACACTAGGATTCTATCAAATGTCTATCTATCTGCCTGTCTATTCATCTTACCTATCTATCTATCTTCCAACTCTGGGATTCTATCTAGCATTCAACCATCCATCCATTTATCTATCAAACATCTATCTCTCCATGCATCTTATGGGTTGGACTTGATGGCTCTTGGGTCTCTTCCAACTCTAGGATTGTATCTAGCATCCATACATCCATCTATCTATCTTCCAACTCTAGGATTCTATCAAACATCTATTTATCTTATAGGTTGGACTTGATGGCTCTTGGGATCTCTTCCAAGTCCAGGATTCTATCAAGCATCGCTCTATCTATCTATCTATCCATCTTATCTATCTATCTTCCAACTAAAGGATTGTATCAAACATCTATCTCTCTATGCATCATGGATTGGACTTGATGGCTCTTGGGGTCTCTTCCAACTCTAGGATTCTATCAAGCATCTATCCATCTATCTATCCATCTTCCAACTCTAGAGTTCTATCTAGCATCCATCTATCTATCTTCCAACTCTAGGATTCTATCAAGCATCTATTTATCTTATGGGTTGGACTTGATGTCTCTGGGGTCTCTTCCAAGTCCAGGATTCTATCAAGCATTGCTCTATCTATCTATCTATCTATCTATCCATCCATCTTATCTATCTAGGATTCTATCTTATATCCATCTATCTATCCATCTATGTATCATCAAACTCTAGGATTCTATTTAGCATCCATCCATCCATCTATGCATATTCCAACTCTAGGATAGTATCTAGCATCCATCCATTCATCTATCTATCTACCAACTCTAGGATTCTATCAAGCATCGCTCTATCTATCTATCTATCTATCTATCTATCTATCTATCCATCCATCCATCTTATCTATTTTTCTATCTTCCAACTCTAGGATTCTATCTAGTATCCATCCATTCATCTATCTATCTTCCAACTCTAGGGTTCTATCTAGCACCCATCTATCTACCAACACTAGGATTCTATCTAGCACCCATCCATCTATCTTCCAACTCTAGGCTTCTATCTAGCATCCATCCATTCATCTATTTTCCAACTCTAGGTTTCTATCTAGCACCCATCTATCTACCAACTCTAGGATTCTATCAAGCATCGCTCTATCTATCTATCTATCCATCCATCCATCTCATCTATTTTTCTATCTTCCAACTCTAGGATTCTATCTAGCATCCATCCATCCATTCATCTATCTTCCAACTCTAGGGTTCTATCTAGCACCCATCTATCTACCAACACTAGGGTTCTATCTAGCCTCTATCTATCTATCTATCTATCTATCTATCTATCTATCTATCTTCCAACCCTAGAATTCTATCAAGCATCTATCTATCTATCTATCTATCTATCTATCTATCTATCTATCTATCTATCTTAGGGGTTAGACAGGATCTAACCCCTTGGGTTATCTTCCAACTTTAGGATTTTAGTGTTACTCCAAACTCTTCCTAGGAGTCCTTGAAATCCCAATCTCATTCATACCCCAATTGTTGGCACTTCAAGTTCCCTGTCGACCTATGGTGACCCCATAGATTTCATGGGCCCTTCTTAGGCAAGACAGACTTCGGGTGCATCTACACCCTACCATGAAAGCAGTTTGACACCGCCTGAACTGCTAGGCCACCCTATCTCCCAAAAACAAGACAAATGTATGTGCCAAAAGCAACAGTAATCAATAACATTTGGTAAAGCCTAAGGGTGCATCTACACTGTAGAATTCATGCAGTTTGGAACCACCTGAACTGCCATAGCTTAATTCCTATGGAATCATGGGAGTTGTAGTTTGACAAGGCCTTCTCTGGCAGAGAGGGCTGGTGACTCACTAAACTACAGCTAACAGGATTCCATAGCATATATAGAAACCATAATCCGAGGCCATTCCAAATGACAACAGTGAAATATTATTATTATTATTATTATTAGAGACGCAATGTGGCTTATACGATTTTAAACAAAACAATGCAATTTTAAATTATTATAATTACTTATATTTTATTAGTAGTATTATTTAATAATTATTGCATTATTATTAGTATTCACATTTTATTATTATGTAATAATTATTTAGTTATCATTATGATTTAAGCCCCCACTTGATTGAGACGCAGCCAAGAACATTTTAAATACAACAACGCAAACATTTTAAATTATTATTATTACTATTATTATATTAATAGTAGTATAATTTAATAATTGTTTTATTATTACTATTTATATTTTTATTACTAAATACTTATGTATCATTATTATTTATATTTTATTATTATTATTTGATTTGTATTGCTTAATATATTGTTTAACATTATTTATATTTCATTATTATTACATTTTATTATATTGATATATTTATATATTTTTATTTTATTATTAGTAGTATTTAATAATTGATTATTACTATTTTTATTTTTATTCAATAATTATGTATCATTATTATTTATATTTTATTATTATTTAATTATAATATTTTATTATAATATTTTATTATATTGATATTTTATATTTTTATTATCATATTTTTATTTTATTAGTAGTATTTCATAATCGTTTATTATTACTATTTATTTTTATTAAATAATTATGTATATTATTATTTATATTTATTATTTTTAATTATAATATTTTATCATTACATTTTATTATATTGATACATTTATATTTATATTGTTACATTTTTATTTTATTAATAGTAGTATTTACTAATCGTTTTATTATTACTATTTATATTTATTATTATTAAATAATTATGTATCCTTATTATTTATATTTTTATTATTTAATTACTATTACTTTATTGATATTTTATTTAATAATATATATTAAATTGATATTTAATAATTATTTAATGACCATTATGATTTTATTATTTTCTTAGTAGTAGTATCATTTAATAATCATCTTATTATTTATTACAAAATAATGATTTGTCATTAACATTATTCATATTTTATGATTACTATATTTTTGTTATATTGATATATTTACATCTTATTATTATATTTTTATTATATGGATATTTCATTATTTAATAATTATTTCATCACCATGATTACTTATATTATTATTTAATAACTATGTAATAATTACTATTATTATTATTATTATTATTATTATTATTATTATTTAAAAAGCAATGTCCTCTACCATCTCCCATCACAATACATATCAACATAGCAATTCAACGCACAAAGCATCCGCACTACAGAGTTATCGCGCGATTATCCCGCTTCAGCTGCCATGCCTCCCTTGCTGAGGGGGGGGCTTGGAGGACTCCAGGCGGCCCCTCCCCTCGCAGGAGCCTGTGAGGCGTTGCTATGACAGCTGGAGCAGGACTATCGCGCGGTAAGTCTCCAGTGCGGATGGCCCTCCCTCCAGGACGGCACAAGGCACACCCCGGGGGTCTCCCGCGGGCCCGAAGCCCCCCCAGAAGAGGTGCTCACCGCCAGGCCGGGCCACTCGCCGTCCCCGCGATGCTTCTGCCTCTGCCTGGACCTGGGCTCGGGCCGCCCCCTCTCCGCCATCCGGCGCCCTCATTGGCCCCCGCTCCCAAACGCCGCCCTACCATTGGCCGAGCCCGCTGCCACTCTCTTTCTCTCGTTCTGTCTCTCTCGCTTTCCGAAGCGAGTGAGGCCGAGCGCCACCTTCAGGGCAAGGTGTAGCATTGCACGGGAAAAGGTGGGTGAATTACATTCATTTTTGGCCATAAGGATAGGAATAACAACCAAAACAACAACAACAACAACTTTATTTATATCCCGCCCCATCTCCCTGAAAAGACTAATAAAAATATAATAATAATAATAAAATAATCAATAATGTTAATGATAAATAATTATTCTGTAATAAATAATAATTATTAAATAATTATATAATAATAACAAGATATCAATAATGTTAATGATAAATTATGATTTTGTAATAAACAATAAGATAATTGGGTTGTTGTAGGTTTTTCCGGGCTATATGGCCATGTTCTGGAGACAATTTTTCTCCTGACGTTTCGCCTGCATCTATGGCAAGCATCCTCAGAGGTAGTGAGGTCTGTTGGAAGTAGGCACATAAAATCACTCTCAACAAAAGATTCCCCCCAGGCGCTTCCAAGCCATTGAATGCTAATCAAGGTGATCAGCTGAAACATTCACACCTAGCCCCAGCAGACAAAAGTCCTTTGTCTCACCCTGATCATTCCACAGATATATAAACCCATTTTTTCTACTTCCAACAGACCTCACTACCTCTGAGGATGCTTGCCATAGATGCAGGCGAAATGTCAGGAGAAAAATTGCCTCCAGAACATGGCCATGTAGCCCAGAAAAACCTACAACAACCCAGTGATTCCGGCTATGAAAGCCTTCAACAATAAAATAAGATAATTATTAAAGAACTATATAATAATAAAATATCAATAATGTTAATGATAAATAATTATTCTGTAATAAATAATTATATAATTAATAAATAATTATATAATAATAAAATATCAATAATGTTGATAAATAATTATTTTGTAATAAATAATAATCATTAAATAATTATATAATAATAATAACATATCAATAATGTAAATGATAAATTATGATTTTGTAATAAACAATAAGATAACTATTAAATAATTATATAATAATAAAATATCAATAATGTTAATGATAAATAATTATTTTGTAATAAATAATAATTAAATAATTATATAATAATTATAATGATGATGATGACAAATACATTAATATAAATAAATATTATTAAAATAGTCATAATGATAATAATGATGATAGTAAGCATAATACTGATAATTATGATGATATAATGATGATAATAGTAATGATAATAATGGTAATAATGATGATAATGATGGTGATGATAATAGAATAAGAAGGTGGGTGGGTGGATGAAAGAGTGACATCTTTCCTTTCAGTGTAATTTGTTATATGCACAAAATTATTAAAAATATGATCTTCGTGCTATGTATATTATATATATATATATATATATATATATATAATGTAATTCTAATATATTATAATATAATATTTTTTATATATATATATATAAACGTTTGTGTTTGTTGTTCATTCGTTCAGTCATCTCCGACTCTTCGTGACCTCATGGACCAGCCCACGCCAGAGCTCCCTGTTCAGCCGTCACCACCCCCAGCTCCTTCAAGGTCAGTCCAGTCACTTCAAGGATGCCATCCGTCCATCTTGCCCTTGGTTGGCCCCTCTTCCTTTTGCCTTCCACTTTCCCCAGCATAATTGTCTTCTCTAGGCTTTGCTGTCTCCTCATGATGTGGCCAAAGGACTTCAACTTTCTCTCTAGTCTCCTTCCCTCCAGTGAGCAGTCGGGCTTTATTTCCTGGAGGATGGACTGGTTGGATCTTCTCGCAGTCCAAGGCACTCTCAGAACTTTCCTCCAACACCACAGCTCAAAAGCATCGATCTTCCTTCGCTCAGCCTTCCCTAAGGTCCAGCTCTCACATCCGTAGGTGACTACAAGGAATACCATGGCTTTGACTAGGCGGATCTTTGTTGCCAGTCTGATGTCTCTACTCTTTACTATTTTATCGAGACTGGACATTGCTCTCCTCCCAAGAAGTAAGCATCTTCTGATTTCCTGGCCACAGTCTGCATCTGCAATAATCTTTGCGCCTAGAAATACAAAGTCTGTCACGGCCTCCACATTTTCTCCCTCTATTTCCCACTTGTCAATCAGTCTTGTTGCCATAATCTTGGTTTTTTTTATGTTTAGCTGCAACCCGGCTTTTGCGCTTTCTTCTTTCATATATATATATATATATATATATATATATCACATTAATATTATATATTTTATATATATTATAATATAATATTTTATATATATAACCTTTGGGATATTTGTTTGAGATGCGCATGAAACATCAATGAATTTAGTCTTTAGAGTTTAAAAAAACATTGTCATGGTTTTAACTAATTTGTAATACTCTATATTTAATTCTATTTTATATGTATTTAGTTTTAAATTGTACATTTTCATTTCTTTTATTATTTCAACACTATTGGCTCTTTGAGTCCCACCAAACTTCAACTCCTTAGCCTGGAGGCTTAAAGCGGCATCAAACCGCATCAATTCCACAGCCTGTATAGAGAAGAAGCCTATCTGGTGACATGGACTAAACCATTTCGAGAAAAGGGGGAGGGCTGTCAAACTTGCCCGTTCTCCCCCGCCTTGCCCTCTGATTGGTTGATCCGCCGCGCTGGTTTCCTGTCTCTTCCCGGCTTCCGTCCTTTCCTTTCCTCGCCGGCGGCTGCAGCTCCTCAGCGTTGCGATGGTGAGTCGAGAAGGGGGGGGGGGTCTTAATCCGGTGCCATCTACTCCGCTTTAACGGGTTTCGGGCGTTGAGTGCGGACGGGATGAATGGAGCAGAGGCCGGAGAAGCGAGGCAAGCAGAATGGGCCGCGGCGGAGGCGGGAATGGTGGTAGTCGGGGAGGCCAAAATTAGTAGGCCGCAGAAGCCTATGTAGGAGTGGGGAGCCTCGCTAGGCGCATTGTTGCCTTACCTTTGCCCAGATTTTTTTTTAAAGGGACAGTGTCCCGGTCCAGCTTACCTGTCCGAATACATCTCCCTCTATGTGCCACCTAGAACACTTAAGTAAGGCCTGGTTATTGAAGAAGGCATTCAGTGAATGACAGAAGCATGCAAATATGGAAGTAGTTAAAGAGATCCTCGAGATTGTGCAAGGCCTAAATCTCTCTATATATGCTCTGTGCATAATGAGTACCTTAAAAACAAAAGAACCAATGAACGAAATCACACCAAATTTGGCAACAAAACGTCTCACAACACAAGGAGTGACCATCACAAAAAATTATGATTTTGTCATTTGGGAGTTGTACTTGCTGGGATTTATATTTCACCTACAATCAAAAAGCATTCTAAACTCCACCAATGATGGAATTGGCCCAAACTTAGCACACGGGACTCCCATGTCCAACAGAAAACACTAGAAGAGTTTGGTGGGCATTGACCTTGAGTTTGGGAATTGTAGTTCACCCACATCCAGAGAGCACTGTGGACTCAAACATTGATGGATCTGGACCAAACTTGGCACAAATATTCCATATGCCCAAATATGAACGCAGATGGAGTTTGGGGGGAAAGAGACCTTGACATTTGGGAGTTGTAGTTGTTGGGATTTATAGTTCACCTACAATCAAAGAGCATTCTAAACCCCACCAATGATAGAATTGGGCCAAACTTTCCGCACAGAACCCCTCTGACAAACAAGTAATACTGTGTTTTCTGATGGTCTTTGGCAACCCCTCTAACACCCCTTTATTACTTCTGCAGGGATCCCAGCCCCCAGGTTGAGAAATGGTGCCTTAAGGCCACCCAGTCCAACTCCCTTCACCAGGGCAAGAAAACATAACCAAAGCCCTCGTGACAAAGAGCAGTCCCGCCATAGCTATAGATAGATAGATATGATTCACACAAAGAGAGATATAGTAGCATAGATTTGAAAGGGACCCCTAAAGAAGGACAGTTATATGTTGCATGTTCCAGAGTGGGCAAACCAGACCCTCTCCACATCAACACTGACAAAGAAACAGCAAGAAATACTGTTTGCCCACAAGCAGAAAGAAATTACGTATATTAGAAACCAACACTTTCTCATTACTTTATTTTCGTGATCACCACAGTGGGCCACAGCAACACATGGCAGGAGACGGCTAGTAAAACAAAAAAATCCATAAAGCACAAGTCCTCAGCGTCTCATCACTAAAATCATTTTTTCCGTCGCATCGTCCAATTGTTCCGTGGATCTCAATTAGTCTGTTACACTGCTTCTGCAAATGCCTGCTCAAACAGCCAGGTTTTAACTTTTTTGCGGAATGTTAGGAACGCCCTCTACAGAGGGTGTTCCATAGCCGAGGGGCCACCACTGAGAAGGCCCTGTCTCTTGTTCCCGCCAATTGGATCTGCAAAGAGGGTGGGACCAAAAGCGGGGCCTCTCCAGACGATCTTAAACGACTAGATACCGGAACCGTTTTATAATTGTAATAGTTTTGATCTATTGCCGTTGTTGTTTTGATATGTGTTGTTTTGTACATGTAAGGCATTTAATTTGGCCTTTTATTATATTTGGATTAAGATGGCCCGCTGGTAGCGCAGCAGGTTAAACTGCTGAGCTGCTGAACTTGCTCACCAAAAGGTTGGCAGTTTGAATCCGGGGAGCGGGGTGAGCTCCCACAGTTAGGCCCAGCTGTCATTAAACATCGAGAAAACCAAAGTCCTCTTCCTGCAGTCACCGAACAATCCCTCTCCAATGCCAGAGATACAGCTTAATGGTGTAACATTAGAAAATGTTGACCATTTCCGCTCCCTTGGCAGCCATCTCCCCACTAAAGTCAACATTGACACTGAAATACAACACCGCCTGAGCTCTGCAAGTGCAGCATTTTTCCGAATGAAGCAGAGAGTGTCTGAGGACCAGGACATCCGTAGGGATACCAAAGTGTTTGTTTATAAAAAGCTATTGTCCTCCCAACCCTGCTATACGCCTACAAGACATGGACTGTCTACAGACGTCACATGCAACTCCTGGAACGATTCCATCAGTGCTGCCTCCTGAAATTCCTGCAAATGTCTTGGGAAGACAAGCGTACAAATGTCAGCGTGGTAGAAGAAGCAAAGACCACCAGCATTGAAGCGATGGTCCTCGGCCATCAACTCCGCTGGACCGACCACGATGTCCGGTTGCCCAACCACCGTCTCCAAAAGCAGTTGCTCTACTCCGAACTCAAGAATGGAAAACGGAATGTTGGTGGACAGGAAGAGAGATTTAAAGATGGGCTCAAAACCAACCTTAAAAACTCTGGCATAGACACTGAGAACTGGGAAGCCCTGGCCCTTGAGCGTTCCAGTTGGAGGTCAGCTGTGACCAGCAGTGCTGCAGAATTTAAAGAGGCACGAATGGAGGGTGAAAGAGAGAAACATGCCAAGAGGAAGGCGCGTCAAGCCAACCCCGACCGGGACCACCTTCCACCTGGAAACCGATGCCCTCACTGTGGGAGAAGAAGCAGATCAAGAATAGGGCTCCACAGTCACCTATGGACCCACCGCCAAGATACTACACTTGGAGGACCATCATCCTTGGACTACGAGGGATCGCCTAAGTAAGGCCCAGCTTCTGCCACCCTAGCAGTTCGAAAACATGTAAATGTGAGTAATATAATAATAATAAACTTTATTTATACCCCGCCATCATCTCCCCAGGAGGATTCGGGGCAGCCTACATGAGGCCAGGCCCAACAATACAACAATGCAAATAAACAACATATCACAGTAAAATATAAAATAAAAAATAAAATACAAAAAAATATAAATAAACATCAGCAATATAAAATCACAATAATTTAAACACAAGAAAATAAATCACACTGGGCAACAACAAGGATAAAAAGTTTAAAAACACTGGATGAGAAGGCAGTGTATTGTATCTGGATAGGGGATCAGAGGGACGAAGTAGGATTTAATTGCACTAATAGGTAGAAAATAAAGTGCTTCCGAGGACAATTATCACTAGGTACCACTTTTGCGGGAAGGTAACGGTGCTCCGTGCAGTCATGCCAGCCACGTGACCTTGGAGGTGTCTAGGGACAATGCCGGCTCTTCGGCTTAGTAACTGAGGTGAACACCACCCCTCAGAGTCTGACACGACTGGACTTAATGTCAGGGAAACCTTTACCTTTACTTTTTATGTTGAGATCCGTTTTGAGTCCACCTAGGGGTGTGAAAAGTAGAATATAAGTGCAATAGATCATATGGACGTTCTAGTCCAGCCCCCTTCTGCCATGCAAGAAAGCCACAATCAAAGCACCCCCGACAGATAGGCTTCCAACCTCTGTTTAAAAGCCTCCAAAGAAGGAGCTTCCACTTGACTCTGAGGCAGAGAGTTCCACTGTTGAACTGCTCTCACAGTCAGGTAGTTTTTCTTTATGTTCTGGTAGACTCTCCTTTCTTGTCATTTGAACCCATTGTTCCAAGTCATTCAACTTATAGAAGATTTAATTACAGCAATTGTTTTTGGGTCCCACATTTTGCATTCGAATGGCATCTATTTTTCTTCTTGTTTCCTTTCCAGGCCAAAATCAAAGCCCGTGATTTGCGAGGGAAAAAGAAGGAAGAGCTGCTGAAGCAGCTGGAGGATCTGAAGGTGGAACTGTCTCAGCTGCGGGTTGCCAAAGTGACTGGTGGAGCAGCTTCCAAACTCTCCAAAATGTGAGTTTTTTCATTGTACCTCTGCTGTAGGGAAGACTCATGTTTAGCATCACAAAAGGCAATGAGTTGCATTAGGCAAAAGCATTTAGAATTCTTGATTTTTATTTATATCCTGCCATCCTATCTAAGTAATTTAGACCAATTTATAGAGGCAATTGTCTACTTTCTGTATATAGGTGGTATTCGTATCAGATTGGCAGGTAAACAGGGCCAACAATAAAGGATGGCAAGGTCCAACAAGTTAAAGCTTGTTTCTCAGAATGTTTGATTGATCACTCTTGGAGCTGGTGCTTAGCTAAATGGATCTTTACATGCAAAATATTTCTAATCTTTAGTTCATCCTCCAATATAGATTCTTTGGCAACCTCGGCAGTTAGCTACGAAAGCACAACAGCTTCTAAAAAACATCACTAGTTAGTGGAAATGAGCCTGCTAAGTTACTTGTTGACTAAAGCAGACACAAAACAAATGAGAAAACTGTGACTTAATGTGTTTCTAAAATCCAGCTCTTATTATAATTGTTTGTTGGCCTGATAAGATTTATGGGTTGTCGAAGGCTTTCATGGCTGGAATCACTGGGCTGCTGTAAGTTTTCTGGGCTGTCTGGCCATGTTCCAGAAGCATGCTCTCATGACGTTTCGTCCACATCTGTGGCAGGCAACCTCAGAGGTTGTGAGGTGTTGGAAACTAGGCAAGTGAGGTTTATATTCTGTGGAATGTTCAGGGTGGAAGAAAGAACTCTTGTCTGCCTGAGGCAAGTGTGAATGTTGCAACTAATAATAATACAATATAATAATTTTATATTTCATATTACATGTAATATTACTAATAACATTACATTGTCTTTATTATTACGTTGTCCATAGACACATCCACATGACCTTGGAGGTGTCTATGGAGAACGCCAGTTCTTCGGCTTAGAAACAGAGATGAGCACCAACCCCCAGAATCGGACACAACTGGATTTAATGTCAGGGGAAAACCTTTACGTATAGTGGTATAGTACAATATAGTAATATATAATACTAATATTGTGCTACACTAATAATATAATATATTGTATGTACATATAACTTGTAACCCGCTCTGAATCCTTTTCGAGGTGAAGAGGCGTCATATACCATATATACTCTCAAGTATAAGCTGACCCGAATATAAGCCGAGGCACCTGATTTTACCACAAAAAACTGGGAAAACGTATTGACTCGAGTATAAGCCGAGGATGGGAAATGCAGCAGTTATGGGTCAGTTTCAAAATAAAAATAGGTACCAATAAAATTACATTAATTAAAGCATCAGTAAGTTGACTGTTTATTAATATTTACATAAAACTGTAAGATAAGACTTTCCAAATCTGACTAAACCATTATTCTAACCTTCTTCAAGGTACATGTGTTTACGTATCCTTCCAATAATAATAGAGTAAAATAATAAATATTAAAATAATAAAGCTAACCTATAAATGTAATAATGTAATGTAATAATAATAAAGTAATAAATACCCTTGGCTCGAGTATAAACCGAGGAGAGCTTTCTCAGCCTTAAAAAAGGGCTGAAAAACAAGGCTTATACTCGAGTATATACAGTAAATGTCATTCATAAATAAATAAATAAATAGGTCAGCTTGATTAGTATTGAATAGCTTGGAAGCTTCAAAGCCTGGCTGTTTTCTGCCTGGGGGGTTTTTTCTGCCTGGCCAATTGCAACATTCAGGCAGAGAAGAGTTCCTTCTTCCACCCTGAACATTCCACAGATATATAAATCCCACTTGCGTAGTTTCCAGCACCTCATAACCTCTGAGGATGCCTGCCATAGATGTGGGTGGAACGTCAGGAGTTAATGCTTCTGGAACATGGCCATACAGTCCGGAAAACTCGCAGCAGCCCATATTTATGAGTGTTAGAATCTACCTTCCATCAAGCCATTTTTTAGTTGTGAAATAGACTTTTTTTTCTCAGCGGGCAATTCTGTGTGTCGTGGTCCTTCAGTTGCATTTGCTTAATTTGACTTTTTGATTTGCTGGATGTCAGTAATGAATATAAATGTATTGGCAACTGCTCAGGTGCCCAGTTCAGGTTCTTGGGATTGATCTGCCTCTCACTTTTTGTCATTTCAAGCCGGGTGGTTCGCAAATCTATCGCCAGGGTGCTGACGGTCATTAACCAAACCCAGAAGGAAAATCTCCGGAAATTCTACAAAGTGAGTCTGGAGTCTGATTTCCACTTGTTCTTTACTAGAAGAGTGTTGCCAGAACAGTTTATCATCAATGGATATGTGGGAGGTTTTCGTAATATATATAATATTGTGGGGAAATCAAATCGCTATGTCAACAGGAAAGCATTGGTTTGTCATGTCAAGCTTCTGGAAAGCTTCAAGAACCTTAAATTGACACAATAGGGGTGTGTGAAAGACCTCTTTCATATCATTTGGCAAGGCTTTCACCCAGCACTGCTCAGAATCCAGTGGACACAGTGCGAATCTGTTCTTGCTAAAGTATTTTCCTGCTGGATGATTTTGGCTGGCCCATTTGGTCCATGCGGTTATCTGGGAGGTACAGAACCCTCTGAGGCTAATAATATAGTTCTATGCGATAACCAGCCTCTGTGAAACCCCTTTTAAACCTTCAGGGCTTATGGTTGAAGATATGACTCTGTTGGAAATGGTTACCATATATGCTCGAGGATAAGCTGAGCTTTTCAGCCTTTTGACTCGGCTTATACTTGAGTCAAAGTTATTTATTATTTTATTATTTTATTTTTTATTACTATATTTATTATTTTGCTCTATTTTTATTAGTATTACGTTTATTATTTCGCTCTGTTATTACTGTTATTGTTACATTTCCAGTATTTTCCTCTATTATTTTTATTACATTTATTATTTTTTCTATTTATTTTTGTTATTATTACATTTATTATTTTACTCAACTATTATTTTATTACATTTATAATTTTACTTTATTGTTGTTATTACATTTATTATTTTACTCTATTTTTATTAGTAGTAGTACATTTGTTATTTTACTCTATTTTTTATTATTACATTTATTATTTTGCTCTATTATTATTTTATTACATTTATTGTTTTACTCAACTATTATTTTATTACATTTATAATTTTACTTTATTGTTATTGCATTTATTATTTTACTCTATTATTACATTTCCATTATTTTACTCAATTATTTTTATTTTTATTATCTTTATTTTACTCTCTTTATTATTATTGGAAGGATACATAAACAGATTCACTTTGAAGAAGGTTAGAGTAAGGGTTTAATCAGAGATGGACAGTCTTATCTCAAATTACAGTTTTATGTAGTTATTCAAAAACATTTTACCTAGTGATGCCTCAATTAATGTAATTTTATTAGTATCTATTTTTATTTTGAAATATACCCTTAGCTGCTGCATTTCCCACCCTTAGCTTATGCTTTAATCAATATGTTTTCCCAGTTTTTTGTGGCAAAATTAGGTGCCTCGACTTATATTCAGGTCGGCTTATAGTCAAGTATATATGGTAATCAGAAACATGAATTCACTGGTGATTTAAATCAGTGGCGGAAGGACAATCCATTTTTCTTCTACCACTCCCACTTGGTTTTCATGTTGGCCACAGAGTAATGGAATGACAGGCTTGTGTAATATATAATGTTTTTGTGTGTATATTTTCCTGATCCTTAATCTTGTTTTCAGTACCTGTCACTTTACTGAACCACTAGGATCTTTCCAAGCAATGGCTTTTTTACATTTAGGATCCTCCACCATTCCTGCTTATTTTCTGGCTTCAAGTTCTCCCCTCTCTTCCAGAGGTTCTACCTATGTCTGTTTCTTTATCTGTTTCTTCTGTAAATAGGGCAAAAAGTACAAGCCGCTGGACTTGAGGCCTAAGAAGACTCGTGCCATGCGGCGCAGGCTAACCAAGCACGAACAGGGTCTGAAGACCAAAAAACAGCAGCGGAAAGAGCGCCTGTACCCACCTCGGAAGTACGCTGTTAAGGCATGAGCCTCACATCTTCAACTGTTCAGAAATGAAGTTTTTTTCCATTAAAGGTGTTTGCTTTGGACTCTCTTAGTGGTGGTTTTGTCTGTTTGGTGGAACCGTGCCTCGCATGTCTGGCTAGGTGGGGAGACACTTCTGATATATGTGCTACGCTTAAATATCCTGGCAGAGGCGGGGGATCTTTGCATTTTATGTCACAAGTAGCATGTAGGTGGGTTTGCACCTCACAATCATAAACGACAGCACATTTGGAAACTAGGGGGACATCAGAGAGCTCATTGCCTCCTTTCTTCCTCAATTGGAGCAGTCACTTTTTTTAGCGTGTTTGCATGTTGGAATACAACTCTAGAGACCAGGATTCAATAATAATAATAAATAACATTTTACAGGGTGAGGCAGCATAACTTCCTTTTTTTAAATGCATGCCATTCAGTCGGCTGAAGACGTAGCGGAGCGCTAGTGGTCTCGTTTGAGAGGCGGGAGTATTAAGTTTTGTCCTGACACATTTCAGTCGCCATCATGTGTTGGAACAGTGAGGAGCGTGCTTTTTGCTGTTGAGGCCTACTTTTCGAGTAGATTTGGAGTGGCTGGGCCCGCTCACCAGATTTGGCACCTTGTGATTTTTTTCTATGGGGTTTTTTGAAATCCCGTGTTTATATGAACCGTCCAAGGACCCTACAGGATTTGAAGACCAACATTCAGGAAATTGCCAACATAATGCCTGCTATGCTGGCAAGAGTCATGACAAACGCCAGAAATCGGTTTACACCGTGTATGGAGAATGGGGAACACGTCACCTACCTAATTTGATCTTCAAAACTATGTAAAACAAAGCTTTAGGTATGCACCTACATGATAAAAAAAATAAATTTTTGATTCATACAATGGGTTTTATTAAGTTTTGAAAAAAGGAAGTTATGCTGCCTCACCCTGTATTTCTCACCCTTTCTCAACAAGGGGACTCAGAGCGGATTCCAGCATATATACCAGGCATGGGCAAACTTTCCAACTTGTGGGCCGCAAGCTAGCACTCCCTGCTTGGAGGACTGGCTGCCTGATGATGGAAGAAAGGGAGGAAAGAGAAAAGGAAGAAAGTACAAAAGGGAGGAAGGGAAAGATGGAAGGAGAACGAGGGAGGGCGGAAAGAGGGAAAGACAAAAGGGAAGGAGGAAAGATGGAAGGAAAAAGGAAGAATGGAAGAGAGGGAGGGATGGAAGGAGAAAGCGAAGGGTGAAAGGGCTGGAAAGGAAGGAAGGGAAAGAAAAGGAAGGAAGGACAAAAAGCAGTAAGAAGGATGGAAGGAGGAAGAGGGAAAGGGAAGGATGAAAGGGCTGGAAAGGAAGGATGGAAGGAAGGAAAAAGGGAAGGAAGGACAAAAAGGAGTAAAAGAAGGATGGAAGGAAGGGAAGGATAAAAGAAGGGAGGAAAAACAAAAGGAAGGAAAGAGAGAGGGAGGAAAGAAGGAAGGAAAGAGAAGGATAGGATGATGAGAGAAAGCCCAAGGGGCTGCACCCAGGTCTGGGTGTGCCCACACTTGATATATACAAACACAGGCAAGCATTCAGTGCCTCAAACACAAATGCACAGGCAGGCTTTCTGTTTCATCTCTGGCTCCGGAGGCGGTGCTCATCTCCATTTGCAAACCGAGGCGTCTGTGTTGTCCGTCGACACCTGGTCGTGTAGCTGGTATGGCTGCATGGAGCGCCGTTTTACCTTCCCACCAAGGCGGTACCTATTGATCTCACATTTGCATGTTTTCAAACTGATAGGTTGGCAAGAGCTGGGACTAACAGTGGGAGCTCATCCCAACTTATGGATTCAAATTGCCAACATTCAGGTCAGCAAGTTCAGCAGCTCAACAGTTTAACCCGTTGTACCACCGCGGCACACTTGGCTGTGAAAACCCATGGAAGTAATCTTGAGGAAGTCACATATTCTCAGCCTCAGAGGAAGGAAAGAGCAACACTGTGAAGAACCCTGTGATAGATGTGCTTTAAGTCTCCATAAATCTGAATTGACTTGAAGGCACGGATTGACAACATACTCTTTGGCAGAGAAGGCTAAAGAGCATGTCAAACTACAACTCCCAGGATTCTATAGCGTAGAGCTGGTGTAGTTTGGCACCATTTGAACAGCCTTGGAATGCTATAGAATCTTTGGAGCTGTCATCTGGTGAAGTGCCAAGGCTAAAGAGCGTGTCACACTACAATTCCCAGGATTCTATAGCATTGAGCCATGAAGATTCAAGTGGTACCAAACTGCATTAATTCTACAGTGTGGATGGATTCCTAGCGAGAACATCTTAAGAGAATATGTGAATAATCAAACTCGCAAATGTAGAGGGCCAACTATAACTTTTCTGGTCTTGCTTCGGTTCAGATTTCCTCCCCGCCCTCAGAAATTCCAGGAATGCAGCAAACAGATAATCTATCCATCCGGAAGGAAGGCGGCACTGTTCTCCAGTTTCCCTGCGAATAAACATGTCTGCAGAAACTCCCTTGAATACAGCTGAAATGATTATGTTAAGTTGTTCACTTCCCTGAGTTATGCACCTCTTAATATCAGCAAATATGGAGGCCTGACTGTACCAAAACACCTAACTGAGTTGGGGGGGGGGGTGAGTTTGTCATTTGGGAGTTGTAGTTGCTGGGATTCTGTGAGGGAAGTTTGGCCCAATTCTATCATTGGTGGGGTTCAGAATGGTCTTTGATTGTAGGTGAACTATAAATCCCTGCAAGTACAACTCCCAAATGTCAAGGTCGGTTTCCCCCCAAACTCCACCAGTATTCACATTTGGGGATATTGAGTTTTTGTGTCAAGTATGTTCCAGATCTACCATTGTTTGAGTCCACAGTGCTCTCTGGATGTAGGTGAACTACAGCTCCCAAACTCAAGGTCAATGTTCACCAAACTCTTCCAGTATTTTCTGTTGGTCTAGGGAGTTCTGTGTGCCAAGTTTGGTTTTAATTCTATCAGTGGAGTTCAGAATGGTCTTTGATTGTAGGTGAACTATAAATCCCAGCAACTACAACTCCCACAGGACAAAATCAATACCCTCCCCCAATCCCACCAGTATTTAAATTTGGGTGTATTGGGTCTTTGTGCCAAATTTGGTCCAGTGTATGAAAATACATCCTGCATATCAGATATTTACATTACTGCTCATAACAGCAACAAAATGACAGGTATGAAGTAGCAATGAAACTAATTTTATGGTTGGGGGTCACCGTAACACAAGGAAGCGTATTAAGGGGTCGTGGCATTAGGAAGGTTGAGAGCCACTGTTCTAGAGTATCGGGCCTTCACTGGATTATACTTGCGATAGCCAAGTGGGGATGATGGGAGTGATAGTCCCAAACCACCTGGAGGGAGGCACGAAGGTCAGACCCAGCTCAACCCCTTGGCCCCAGATCAGATGTCAGCAGATGCTGGTATCAATTAGCATTCCAGGCAATTTGTGCAACGTACTTGTTAGTACATTGTTTGGTGACAGCACCTAAAGGATCGTTCTCCCCATGGCAACAGTATAGAGCAGGGGTCCTCAAACTAAGGCCCGGGGGCTGAATACGGACCTCCAAGGTCATTTACCCGGCCCTTGCTCAGGGTCAACCTAAGTCTGAAATGACTTGAAAGCACACAACAACAACAACAACAATCGCAATCCTATCTCATCAGCCAAAAGCAGGCCCACACTTCCCATTGAAATACTAACAAGTTTATATTTGTTAAAATTGTTCTTCATTTTAATTATTGTATTATTTTAAGTGGGTTTTTTTTTTTGCACTACAAATAAGATATGTGCAGTGTGCATAGGAATTCATTTTTTTCCCTAATTATAATCCAGCCCCGCAACAGTTTGGGGAACTGTGACCTGGCCCTCTGTTTAAAAAGTTTGAGGGGCCCTGGTATAGAGGTTATTGTTTGGCTCATAGTGGAAACTTATCCCACTCTTGCAGTGCTTCTCAACCTTCCTAATGCCACGATCCTTAATACAGTTCCTCATATTGTGATGACCCCCAACCAGAAGTTTGCCAAGTTTGGTTCAATTCCATCCTGGGTGGAGTTCAGAATGCTCTTTGATTGTAGGTGAACTATAAATCCCAGCAACTACAGCTCCCAAATGTCAAGGTCTATTCTCCCCAAAGGCTGAGCGAAGGAAGAGAGATGCTTTTGAGCTGTGGTGTTGGAGGAAAGTTCTGAGAGTGCCTTGGACTACGAGAAGATCCAACCAGTCCATCCTCCAGGAAATAAAGCCCGACTGCTCATTGGAGGGAAGGATACTAGAGACAAAGTTGAAGTCCTTTGGCCACATCATGAGGAGACAGCAAAGCCTAGAGAAGACAATTATGCTGGGGAAAGTGGAAGGCAAAAGGAAGAGGGGCCGACCAAGGGCAAGATGAATGGATGGCATCCTTGAAGTGACTGGACTGACTTTGAAGGAGCTGGGGGTGGTGACGGCCAACAGGGAGCTCTGGCGTGGGCTGGTCCATGAGGTCATGAAGAGTCGGAGACGACTGGACGAATGAACAAGAGCAACATTCTCCCCAAACTCCAACAGTGCTCACATTTGGGCATATTGAGTATTTGTGCCAAGTTTGGTCCAGATCCATCATTGTTTGAGTCCACAATGCTTTCTGGAGGTAGGGGAACTACAACTCCAAAACTCAAGGTCAATGCCCACCAAACCCTTCCAGTATTTCTGTTGGTCATGGGAGTTCTTTGTGCCAAGTTTGGTTCAATTCCATCGTTATTGGAGTTCAGAATGCTCTTTGATTGTAAGTGAATTATAAATCCCAGCAACTACAACTCCCAAATGACAAAATAAACCCCACCCCCAACGCTACCAGTATTCAAATTTGGGTGTATGGGATATTTGTGCCAAATTTGGTCCAGTGAACAGAAATACATCCTGCATATCAGATATTTACTATTCATAGCAATAGCAAAATTACAGTTGGGAAATAGCAGTGAAAATAATGTTATGGTTGAGGGTCAGCACAACATGAACTGTATTAAGGGGTCGTCAGGGGCAGCTCGTCCATTACGCAAAGTAAGCGGTCGCAGTACACTTTTTTTGCCAGGGGTGCAGAGGCGCCTCTGTAAATGCCCTTCGACCGCCACTTGAGGAGCACCCCCTCGGCTCACAACAGCCCTAGCAGTCCAGGGGGAGCCTCGGCAGCCCATTACGCAAAGTAAGCATTTGCAGTATAGTTGATTTTGCCTAGGGGCACTCTTGAGGTGCTCTTGGGGGAAAATAGACCTTGACATATGCGAGTTGTCGTTACTGGGATGTGTAGTTCACCTACAATCAAAGAGCATTCTGAACTCCACCAATAATGGAATTGAACCAAATATGGCACACAGAACTCCCACAACAAACAGAAAATATATATCAATGATTGTTTGGGGGGGGGGGCAAAATACTGTTTGCTTACCATTAAAAATTACCTAGGGCCACCTCTGGGAGTTGTGGCATTCGGAAGGTTGAGAAACACTGCTCTAGGGTTTTCCTCCTCTTTAATGGAACCTCCTTTCAAATATTTAAACATGGGAGAAAGGAAAGAAAGTGGAAAAAGAAGGGGAAGTCAGGAAGAAAGGAAGAAAAAGAAGGGAAAGAAGGAAGAGAAACTAAAAGGGATAAAGGTATGAGCGAAGGAAAGAGAAGGAAGGGATGACATCAGAAGCAGCGGCCCCTCCAGCACTCAAGTGACACTAATAACAATAATAATAATCGCAACCTGATCTTTCGCTGCCCTCACCTTTCTCAATCTTTGTCCGAAATGGCATAACACTAACTCGCATAATACGCAGACCTGCTATATGTTGCAATTTCTATCCTCTTTTTAAAATATGTAGTACTGCCCTGCAGTGAAATCCACCTGCAGGCCATATGGCAGGCATGCAAATGAGGGAATACACTCGCCTGTTGTTAAACTTTTTCCAAGAGATTTGCATGCCCCTGGCTCTGGAGCTCACTTCTTAAAGCAGCGCCTGGAGAGGAAGAACAGGGTCCGAGGAAGCCAGAGTCCTGACAACGCCATGGAACTGCCTTTGCAAAATCCGATGAACCTTTGTGAAGGTGAGCCGTGGTCTTTGGTTACTGTGTTTATCTGGAAAAGAAGAGCCATGCTAACATCTCAGTTGTTTCAAGATTAGCAATCCTCCATTTGGTTTTCCACTTTTGTCTCTTTGGTCGAAGCCAAACCATCAAACTACAAGAAAGGAGATTCCACCTGAACATTAGGAAGAACTTCCTGACTCTGAGAGCCATTCATCAGTGGAACTCTCTGCCCCAGAGTGTGTTGGAGGCTCCTTCTTTGGAAGCTTTTAAACAGAGGCTGGATGGCCATCTGTCGGGGGTGCTTTGAATGCAATTTTCCTGCTTCTTGGCAGGGAGTTGGACTGGATGGCCCATGAGGTCTCTTCCAACTCTATGATTCTATGATTCTATCCTCAACTTAAATGGCGTCATGGGTTAAGGCTGCATCTACACCAGGCACGGGGTCTCTCGCTGTCTCTCTGGAGGGATCACGGTCTTGTTCAGGCATGGCCGGAGCAAGGCGCCTGCCTCTGTAGGGTTGTCGGCATAGGAAGAGATCCCAGATCCTGCAGAATCAATAGATCTCTTTTGTGTCCATATAAATAATCCAGAATGAACTCATGGAAAGCTGAGAAAGATTCTTAAGAAAAATTGATAATCCATCACTTCCTCAGTTGACCATCAGGGCCAGGTGTTTCAGCCCATTTAAAATCCTGTATTTCTCTTATTTCTTTGATGTGCTGCATCTTAGAATCCCAAGTGTTTACATATATGTGTGTGTCTGTGTCTGTGGGTAACACACTATCTATCACCTATCTATCTATCTATCTATCTATCTATCTATCTATCTATCTATCTCTCTCTCTCTCTCTCTCTTTCTCTCTCTCTCTATCTATGGGGCATGGACCAACTTCAGCCCTCCAGGTGTTTTGGACTTCAACTCTCACAATTCCTAACAGCCAGTAGGCTGTTAGAAAGTGTGGGAGTTGAAGTGCAAAACACCTGGAGGGCTGAAGTTACAATTCCTACCGGCTGTTAGGAATTGTGAGAGTTGAAGTCCAAAACACCGGGAAGGCTGAATTTGGTCCATGCCTTCTCTACACTATAAAATTTATACAGTTTGATACCAATTGACCTGCCCTCACTCCATATCATTTGAAGTTTGTACTCTTTGGCAGAGAAGGCTTAAGACTTTCTAAAACGACAACTCCAGGATTCCACAGCATTTGAGCCATGGCATTTAAACAGTGTCAACTTGCATTGATACGGCAGTATTCATGCACCCTGAAACTGTCCCCCTTTTCAGCCCTTAAAACGGGAAGGAGTAAATGTGTCCAAAATACCACAATAATTCTTTAGAAAAGTGATAAGAGAGCACTTCCTTTTCTTTTGCTCTTGTCGTGGGTTTCCTCTTATCCTATCTCTTCAAGGGTCATGCTTCCTTCCTGGAAATAACTGCCACTTGTTCAATCTGCCTTGTCCTCCTAACACAGTGCCACGACTATTTGGTCATTTGTGTCAATGTTGAACATTGGTGGGGGAAAGCATGCTCTCCTGAGGCCGGTCGTTCTTCTGTTTCCACCATCTGCTTCTCTGACCCTGGAACTCAACAAAAAAGCTCCTGTTTTGTAGCAGCTTTCCTATGAAGTGTGTTAGATGGTAGTCCTTTGTAATGTTATAATTTATTTTCAGGAGAAGGCAATGGTTTACAGTGCCATAAGCTGCTGACAGGTCTGTGAAGACAGCTCCTGTAATCTGCTGACTTTCAAAACCATCTTCTGTGTTCTGAGTCAAGTTCAACACTTGTGATGTGCAGAAAAAGGTTTGGAAGCCAAGATGTATGAAGAGCAGCATAGGGAGCTGGGATTATTGAGCTTGGAGAAGAGAAGGAGACATCAGAGCCATGTTTAAATATTGGAATGGAGGGGGCAAGTTTGTGTTCTGCTGTTCCAAAGACCATGGAGCAATGGATTCAAATTGCAGGGGGAAAGATTCCATTAGGTAGAACTTCCTGATATCAGAGCTATTCGGCAGAGGAAGACACTACCTGGGTGGAGTCTTTGGAGGTTATTCAACAGATGGCCATCTCTCAGGAACACTTTGATTGTGTCTTCTAGCTTGACAGAAGGAGGTTGGACTGGGATGATCCTTGGAGTCTCTTCCAATTCTATGGGCCATATAACCCAGAATAGCAAGGCAGAAAACCCACAGTATCTGCTTTGAACTGGGATATCTAAGGGCACTTCCAGACAGCACTAAATCACGGGTTTTAAACAGGGGCAAAAAATCCCAGAACTTCAGAAGAGGTCCACATACAGACCTGTTGGTCCTGGGATTTCTGCTCTGTTGTCCAGACTTGATGGAGATTTGGAGGCTTCCAAGATGGCCACCACGGGACTTCTGCTGGAAATGTCCACAGTTTTTTGACGTAAGATGTTTATATGTGGAGAATCGCTGCAGCGAATCACTGCAAAAGTTCCGTTCTTTGTCCTGGCCAGAGAAACTATGTCCTCACATGTTTCATGAAGTTTCTGGCACACAAACAAAGTTTTTACATTCTATTCAAGTGTCACCTTTTTTATAGGCACCAACCAATAAGGAACAAACATTTAAAACTTGGGAACAAACCTAGGTAATCCCTGCACTCGCGATTTCCGGGTGCAGGGATGTACAGACATGCAAAGATTTGCATATTCAGCTCAAAAATGCAATATTCCCACACCAAGAAATCTCGCATTTTTGCCTTTTGTAGCTTCCCCGTTTACAGGGCATGGCGTCTGAACATCCTCCTGTTTGTTGTGGAAGCTCCTGGGATAAAGGTATTGTCTGGAGGGGCCCTGAGTCCACAATGCCATATATCCCAGTTCAAAGCAGAAAATGTGAGATTCCATTCAGCTGTGTGGAAGGGGCCTCAGTTTCTATGAAAGGGGGAACAAACCTATGTCAAGCAATTATGTTTTTCCTCATATGGGGTAGAGAAGCAAAAACCAGTTTCACTCTTGTGTAATGTGCGAGAAGGCCCCCAAAAGAAAGAGTGCTTTTGTTGTGTCTCCCTACCTATCAGAATGGGGTTGGACTGGATGGCATTTGGGGTGTCTTCCGAGTGTGTGGTTCTACATCGCGTTTCAGCCTTGGTGGATATGTGCCAGCTGGGGTCCAAAACATCTGAAGGATCTGCTTACCCAAACCAGTGACCAAACTAGGGTGCATACATGTGCCGGCCCAGAAGGTCTAGGGTGCCTACAGATCGAGGAAACCTGAGGGTCTCCTCTATGTTGAGTCCAGCCCTGGACTGGCCAGGGATTGTGGCCTGATCCTCTTCATCACCGGAATTGGGTTTCCTGTATAGCAGAAAGAGCCAATGAACGCCTGCGTTCGTGTGTGTGCTTTTGCAACAGAAGCAGCTCTGTGCAAACACAGCTGCGGCCGACTGTGATCGAGATAAGGCCTCGATGTGGGTGTGCGAAGAGGAGGAAGCAGCACCCGAGGGAGTGGGCTCCACTCCCATCCTGCCCTTTTTCTCCCTCTCGGGCTCAGAAGTGGGCCGCAGAACCGTTTACACCCGTGGCTGCCCTCCCCGTGGCACCAGGGCACTGCCAAGTGGACCAAAAATCCAGCAGTGCTTTGGCCTCCAGATGGGACTGGACCTTATCCTTTGGAGGTCCTCGAGAGCGACATCCCCGAGACCCTGACGCCTGGTAAATGGACTCTGTCTCCGTTGGGAATGGGTCGGTTGAGTTGGGTTGGGTGGGACAGCGGACCAAAAGCGAAAGGAAGAGAGGAACAGAGAGAGGAGGAAGAGAGAGAGAGCAGCGTAGCAGAGAAGGAAGAGAGGAACAGAGAAATGAAAGAGGAACAAACTAGGAAGAGCAGAAGAGAGAGGTGGAAGAATAGGAGCAGAGGAACACGGAGTGTTGCAAATGAGCTTGACTCGCAGGAAACATGGCTTTTCTTTCCGGTTTGTAGTTTGGAGAGGTACCAGCATGTTTTGGCAGAGAAGGCTAAAGGCCTTCTAGGACAGTGTTTCTCAACTTTCCTAATGCCGCGATCCCTTAATACAGTTCCTCATGTTGTGGTGACCCCCAACCATAACATTATTTTTGTTGCTACTTCATCACTGTCATTTTGTAACTGTTATGAATCGTGATGTAAATATCTGCTATGCGGGATGTATTTTCATTCACTGGACCAAATTTGGCACAAATACACAATACGCCCAAATTTGAATACTGGTGGGGTTGGTGGTGGGAATTATTTTGCCATTTTGGAGTTGTAGTTGCTGGGATTTATAGTTCACCTACAATCAAAGAGCATTCTAAATTCCACCAACGAAGGAATAGAACCAAAATTGGCACACAGAACTCCCATAACCAACAGAAAATATTGGAAGGGTTTGGTGAGCATTGACCTTGAGTTTTGGAGTTGTCATTCACCTACATTCAGAGAGAACTGTATACTCAAACAATGATGAATCTGGACCAAACTTGGCACAAATACTCAATATGCCCAAATGTGTACACTGGTGGAGTTTGGGGAGAATAGACCTTGACATCTGGGAGTTGTAGTTGCTGGGATTTATAGTTCACCTACGATCAAAGAACATTCTAAACTCCACCAATGATGGAATTGAACCAAACTTGGCACACAGGACTCCCATAACCAACAGAAAATATTGGAAGGGTTTGGCGAGCATTGATCTTGAGTTTTGGAGTGGTAGTTCACCTAAATTCAGAAAGAACTGTGGACTGGAACAACGATAGATCTGGACCAAACTTGGCACGAATAATCAATATGTCCGAATGTGAACACTGTTGGAGTTTGAGGAAAATAGACCTTGACATTTGGGAGTTGTAGTTGCTGGGATTTGTAGTTCGCCTACAATCAAAGAACATTCTGAACCCAGCAACGATAGAACTGGGCCAAACCTCCTACACAGAACCCCCATGTTTTGAAAGGACTAGCTGGTGCGAGCTTCCCTCCAGCCTTGCACGCCCTCCCTCACCTGAACATGCGCACCAACCACACCTGCTCTCCCCTCCCTGCTTGGAGTCTCAGAAACAGCCCTCCCCTTGGCTGAGAGGCCAGCCAATCACAGTGGAGGAGGGCTTTTGGTTTGAGGATTACAAAAAGGAAGAGAAGGACAGGTGGAGAGATCTTCATCCTTCTCTGCCAAAGGGGTTCTTAAGACCATTGAAAATATAGTTTTCTGATGGTCCTTGGCGACCACTCTGAAACCCCCTTGCAATCCCCCCCAGGGGTCCTGACCCCCAGGTTGAGAAACTCTGCAGCTGAAGTTTTCTTATCCTTTCATGCATCCGCTGAGAGCACTGTGGACTCAACCAGTGATGGATCTGGACCAAACTTGGCACGAATACTCAATATGCCCAAATGTGAACACTGGTGGAGTTTGGGGAAAATAGACCTTGACATTTGACATTTCTAGTTGGAGTACCATGGCAGCTTGATGTCTGCAACAGAGCCTTTTAGTGGCTTTCCAGTGGAGGTTTACTACTGGAAAATAAATCTTCCTGGAATAAGGAAGAGCCAGACATTAATACGACTTCCCATTGACCTGCTACAGGCAAACATGCGAAGCCTGGGCAAGGTAACCTGCCAGTGGGAGTGGGAGGACTTCCCATTAGTCAAACTCAGCCATTAAAATGCAAGTCTTCTTTGCAAGGCATCAAAGCTGCAAAAACTCCAACTTCTGAAAACAAAGTATGATATACTCAATAATCTAAAAAAGATCTGTCCTAATCTGAGATACCAAACCGGTGAGTTGCATATTTTCTCTATAAAGGGCAAAACTTTAAATACAAAACGCTTATGTTAATTGACAGAAGAAATGCACGGAGGGGTTTACAGGAAAGAAGACTTTAAGTAGCGAGAGGATTTAATCTAAAAATCACGTTGTCCTTAAAAAGGACAAACAGAAAAGAAAGACTGTGTGTTTAAACTATAGATTAAGCCAAAATGTTTTTGCCTTCTCCCTCGTTTGGAGGTTAAGCAATTATTTACATCAAGGCAGCTGAATTACTGGTTTACTTAAAGACTGATTAGAAAAGCTGTGATTTTGCACTGCATAAGGCAGTGGTTCCCAACATTTTTTGACCAGGGACTGCTTTGACTAAGGACTGTTTTGACCAGGGACCGCTTTGACCAGGGACTCCTTTGACGAAGGACCACTTGCCCAGGGACCTCTTTGACCAGGGGCCACTTTGACCAGGGACTGCTTAGACCAGGGACAGCTTAAACCAGGGACTGCTTTGACCAGGGTCCATTTTGACCAGGGACCTCTTTGACCAGGGACCACTTGCCCAGGGACCTCTTTGACCAGGGGCCACTTTGACCAGGGACTGCTTAGACCAGGGACAGCTTAAACCAGGGACTGCTTTGACCAGGGTCCATTTTGACCAGGGATCACTTTGACCAGGGAACACTTGGTCAGGGACCTCTTTGACCAGGGACCGCTTTGACCAGGGACTGCTTTGACCAGGGACCGCTTTGACCAGGGACTGCTTTGACTAAGGACAGCTTTGACTAAGGACAGCTTTGACCAGGGACCGCTTTGACCAAGGACAGCTTTGACCAGGGACCACTTTGACCAGGGACCTCTTGACCATGGACCACTTACACCAGGGACCACTTAGACCAGGGATAGCTTAAACCAGGGACCGCTTTGACCAGGGTCGATTTTGACCAGGGACTGCTTTGACCAGGAACTGCTTTGACCAGGGACTGCTTTGACTAAGGACAGCTTTGACCAGGGACCGCTTTGACCAGGGACCACTTTGACCAGGGACCGCTTTGACCAGGGACCGCTTTGACCAGGAACTGCTTTGTCCAGGGACCGCTTTGACTAAGGACAGCTTTGACCAGGGACCACTTTGACCAGGGACCTCTTGACCATGGACCACTTAGACCATGGACCGCTTAGACCATGGACCGCTTAGACCATGGACCACTTAGACCAGGGACCACTTTGACCAGGGACCACTTTGACCAGGGACAGCTTTGACCAGGGCCGCTTTGACCAGGGACCACACTCCAACATTAGTACCAAAAGGATTACGAATTGTTTTTTGGTCAACTTTGGATTTGGTTTGGTTATTTGGCGTGCTGATCCAGAAAATTGCATTGGATAGACCACATCAGCTCTAGCTTCTGATACAGAACATATGCCATCCAGTAGTTGCCATCTGCTTGCCCACAGAAAACCATATTTAATAAACTAAAGCTGATGTGGTCTATCCAATGCAGTGTTCTGAATCAGCACCAACCCAAATAACCCCAGGAACAGGACTAAGAACAAAGACACCAAGGCACCTCATGGTATGGTTCCACCCAGGGGGGAAGGTGGAGGAGGAGAAGCAGCAGTCAGGAGGCTTGTTGTCACACCTTTCATGGTTAGTCAGCATCTGCCCTCCTGACATCCTCGTTGCCTCGGCAATGTAAGAGGGTTTCCCGAGACCAGTTGCTCTCATTGCAACGGTGTAGTAACGGTGAGGCCATGGACCATATTTTAGTTCTTGCAAACCACTGGTGGACCATGGACCATAGATTGGGAACCATTGGTATAAGGCATGGAAGAACCTACTTGTAGGACTATAACTTATTTACACATAAGGCTTAAAATGACAACAAGGAAAATGGATATGGCCAAGGCAAAAAGGAGGCGTGACTCTATAGACAAAATGGAAGGATATGTTAGTTTTGTAGAGTCGCAAAGAAAATAATAATAATAATAATAATAATAATAATAATAATAATAATAATTTATTTATACCCCGCCACCATCTCCCCAAGGGACTCGGAGCGGCTTACATGAGGCCAAGCCCAACAACACACCAATAAAACAAAAAACAATAATAAAAAACAATACAATTAATATCTCACATATAAACAATAACATGTAAGGATTTAAGAAAGCTATGGCCGGGCCAAATGTACTAGTTTAAAATTTAAAAATACTGGAAGAATTCCAAGAAGTGAGTATGGATTTGCAAAAATCAATTGATTTGTTGAAACAAGAACTGAGTTGAGATATTAAAAAGTCGAATGAGTCACTGGAACAGGAATACAGTATATGGATAACTTGAAGCATATGCTCCATAAAGAAGTACATGTGATTAAAGAGTCGGTAGACTGCATGAGAAATGATTTTAGAAAAAGTAAAACAGAAAATTTAACAAGTGAAGTAGAAAGAGATTTAGATAACCTAGCATTACTGGAATTAAGAGAAAAATAATTTTGCCTAAGATTAAAGGTTTTGCCAGAAGAAGAGGAGGAGGATATTTATTTATTTATTTATTATTTACTATATTTATTATTTACTATATTTGTATACCACTCCTCTCAGCCTTCCGGCGACTCGAGGCAGTTTACAAGGCAAAATTCAATGCCACCAAGAACACAATTACAATATAAAACATCAGCATCAATAAAAGCATAACACTATAATAAAACATAATTCAATAAATACTCATTAAAACAATGTCCAGTCCCGTCATGTAGTTGTTCCATTCTTATGCCCGTTACTCAGTATTCGCAAATGCCTGCTCAAATAGCCATGTCTTAAGTGTCTTCCAAAATGCTAGGAGCGAAGGAGCCAATCTGATCTCCCTAGGAAGGGCCACCACTGAGAAGGCCCTGTCTCTCGTCCCTGCCAGCCCTGCTTGTGATGATGGTGGGACCGAGAACAGGGCCTCTCCAGGCGATCTTAAAGTCCTTGAAGGTTCATAAGGGAGATTCGTTCAGACAGGTAAGTTGGGCCAAAATAGGAAGATCATTACACCCCTGGAAAAAACTGTTAAGAGTGCAGACAGGAAGAATTGGAGCCAGAAATTGATAAAATATACAGAATTAATTCCCGGATGGCTAAACAAAGGAAGTTAGCAAGAGATATTATTGTACATTTTATGTGGAAGAGAACCAGAGATTGTATCTTGCAGGCCCATTATACACTTGGTTTGAAAATAAATGACAAGGAAGTAATAGTTATGAAAGAAATTCCTACTAGAATATTAAGGAAAAAGGAAGGAATAGATCTTCCTTATTGATAAATTCAAACAGCATAACATTTTATTCAGATGGGTTAAATTGGGAGGTGTACAGGTTCTAGATTCCATCTAAACTCTATCCCTAAAACCAGAGCTTTCCTTGATTAGCATTGAATGGCCTTTCAGCTTCAAAGCATGGCTGCTTCCTGCTTGGGGGAATCCTTTGTTGGGAGGTGTTAGCATTCTTTCATGGCTGGAATCCCCCTGTTTTCTGAGTGTTGTTCTTTATTTACTGTCCTGATTTTAAAGTTTTTTTTTAATACTAGTAGCCAGATGATGATTTCCTCCTTTCTGTTGAGATGGTCCACATGTAGTCTGGCATGGTGGTTTTTGGAGTGGTCCAGCATTTCTGTGTTCTCAAATCATATGCTGTGTCCACGAATCAAGGAACATGAAAGGCAGTGAGACCACTTTGTCCACTCCATGTTGCTGAGGTTGAGGGCGGCTTTCCTTTTGTGAGAAGACCGAGGCAAAGAAGGTGTTAAGTAGTTCTGTCTTTTCCCTGTCTATCCCCTGTCAGCATGTCCTTTAGGTCTTCTTGACTTCTTCCCTTGGAGCAGAAATGAAGCCAGACCAGTTTAGCTTCATGGTCCTAACAATCCAAAACATTAATAAGTAGCCGAGCAAGTATTTCAAGCCACTAATCCAGATCCGCAGTCTGATCTATAGGGGTCAGGAGCAACTCCATGTCGTAAGGAATATTTCCTGAATGCCTTCGATGATTTCGAGCTTTTCGACTTCCATCCAAAAAGGCTCACAAAATGTTAAACTACATTTTATGAATGCAGTTGCCTGGGTTATTTGAAAAAGTCAATTTTTTAATTGTACCAAATGCATAAGGTTGTGGGTGAACTACAACTCACATCAGGACTGGTTAACCCAAAGAAACTCCATCCATACTTAAAGTTTGTTATGTTGGGTAAGTTTACTCTGGATGCATCATGGGTGGGGTTCAGTGTGCATCCTGGCTGTAGTTCGAAGAATGACTATCGTAATGTACACTTCCTAGTGTCTATGGGTGCAAATGCACTGTCAAATTAATGCAGTTTGGCACCACTTGAACTCCCGTGGCTCAATGCTATGGAATCCTGAGAGTTGTAGTATCATAAGACCAATATAATAATAATAATAATAATAATAATAATAATAATAATAATAAACCTTTATTTATACCCCGCTACCATCTCCCGAAGGACTCGGTGCGGCTCACAAGAGGCCGAGCCCAAATACATTAGTAAAACACAATAACAACAGTACAATAATAAAAAACACATAAACAAAGCAAAAACATAAACAATAACACCGCGGCACATTAAAACCTGTGGCAGGGCCAAATGTAGTACTTAAAATCTTTAAAAATGTTGGGCATGATCAGGTGAAATAGGATAGGTATTTTAGCGATAGGTGGAGCGTGCAGGAAATTCTAGATCTCTAATAAAGTGCATTTGGGACATATTGCTTGGAGTTTCCAATATAGCTGTCTAGCAGCCTACCAAACTATAACTCCAACAATTCTGTAGCATTGAGCTTTGGCATTTAAGCAGCGACAAACCACATTAATGTGATAGTGTAAACACAATGTATTGTCGAAGGCTTTCATGGCCGGAATCACTGGGTTGTTGTAGGTTTTTTTGGGCTATATGGCCATGGTCTAGAGGCATTCTCTTCCTGACGTTTCGCCTGCATCTATGGCAAGCATCCTCAGAGGTAGTGAGGTCTGTTGGAACTAGGAAAAAGGGTTTATATATCTGTGGAATGACCAGGGTGGGACAAAGGACTCTTGTCTGCTGGAGCTAGGTGTGAATTTTTCAACTGACCACCTTGATTAGCATATAATGGCCTCACATTGCCTGGAGCAAACTTTTGTTGAGAGGTGATTAGATGTCCTTGTTTGTTTCCTCTCTGTTGATTTGCTCTTGTAATTTTTGAGTTTTTTAATACTGGTAGCCAGATTTTGATCATTTTCATGGGTTCCTCCTTTCTGTTGAAATTGTCCACATGCTGGTCCCTCAAGGTGGTCAGTTGAAACATTCACACCTAGCTCCAGCAGACAAGACAAGAGAGAGGAAACAAACAAGGACATCTAATCACCTCTCAACAAAAGTTTACTTTGGGCACTGTCAGGCCATTATATGCTTATCAAGGTGGTCAGTTGAAACATTCACACCTAGCTCCAGCAGACAAGAGTTCTTTGCCCCACCCTGGTCATTCCACAGATATATAAACCCAATTTTCCTAGTTCCAACAGACCTCACTACCTCTGAGGATGCTTGCCATAGATGCAGGCGAAACGTCAGGAGAGAATGCCTCTAGACCATGGCCATATAGCCCGAAAAAACCTACAACAACCCAGTGTAGACACACTCTGAGCTCTATAATTAACAAAATGCACATGATGATGGAACTATGTATTGTTGAAGGCTTTCATGGCTGGAATCACTGGGATGTTGTGAGTTTTCCGGGCTATATGACCATGTTCCAGAAGCATTTTCTCCTGACATTTCACTCACATCTATGGCAGGCATTCTCAGAGGTCAACCTCTGAGAATGCCTACCATAGATGCAGGCAAAATGTCAGGAGAGAATGCTTCTGGAACATGGTCATACCGCCCAGAAAACTCACAACAACCCGATGATGGAACTCTTCAATGACCTCAAAATTAGCAGGCAATGTCATAACATTATTAACCACTAGATGGCAATGCTGTTGAAGAAGTTGTAGGAAACATCTTCAAGGGTAAGTGGCATTGGCCTTGCAACTAAGAGTGCACTGAGTATAGATGGACCACAAATCCACAAAATTATACAGTGTAGATGGACCCCAAATCCACATCTTTTCTTAGGCAAACCAAACAGTGGCTATCTGGTTTGGAACTTGTCACTCATAAGAAGGAGATAAATGCACCTAATGACTCTAATCACTGTGCCTTCTCATCTTTTCTCCTATTGCAGAGACAAAGGTCTTTCAAGGTCTACAGGAGGAGCCTGAGATGGACGGCCGAAAGCCTACCCTAAAAAGCTCCCAGAAGGTTTCCTTGCTCTCTTCCTCGGTGCGAACTGTCATTCGTCTTCGGCGGACGACTCAAGTCCTCAAGAAGGGCCTCCCATCCAGAGATTCCCCATCCAAGGTCCTCCAGCGCCAGCAATCCTTGGGTAAAGTCAAAGCGGGCAACCAAGCAAGCTTCCAGGGTTCCCAATATTTTACTTTCGACACCTCTGCACAACCTCCACAAAGCATCAAGAAGAAGAAGAAGAGACCCAAGAACCCTCGGGTTTTGTACCCGGGATGTTCTCGGAAATACCTCCCGACAGAGCACAAAAGCAAAGCCAAGAGGTGCCTCCTCCTCCTGGTTGGCATCATCTGCTTCCAGATCCTCAATGCCATTGAGAACTTGGATGACAATGTGATGAAATATGAGTTGGATGGGCTGGAGAAGACCATGAGGAGGGAAGTCTTTGGGCAGGCCTTGGCTGTGGAGAGCGTGATGGGCCTGCTGAAGGACTACTTAGCCACCCACATCCACAACAAGCCCTTGGTGATCTCCTTCCATGGCCCGAGTGGGGTTGGGAAAAGCCACATAGGATGGTTGCTCGCCAAACACTTCCGGTCCATTATTGGCCATGAAATGGTGCTCCATTATTTCACCCAGCACCATTGTCCCGAAGGTGCCCCTGCAATGTCCTGCCAGTTGGAGCTCTCCAAGATGGTCACCGAGATGGTCACCCAAGCAGAAGTAGAAGAAAAGATCCCTTTGTTTATTCTGGACGAGGTGGAGTCCATGTCACCTGATTTGTTGGACATCCTTGGAGGGTTCTTCCACACCAACCAAACCAATGAGTTCCTCAATGCCATCTATGTCCTAATCAGCAACTTTGGGGCCAAAGAGGTCACCGATGTTCTTCTCCAGAATGTCACCATGGACCTCCTGGAGGCCCAGAGGACAACGGAGCACCTTCGGACGGTCCTAAGTCCCGTTTTGAGCCAAATCCACCCTCTTTGGACATCAGCAGAGATTGTCCCCTTTGTGTTGCTAGAGAAGAGCCATGTCCGGAGCTGTTTCTACGAGGAGATGATGAGCGAAGGGATCTACCCAGATCCCAACCACATCGAGCGCTTGGTCAGTCAGCTGGGCTATTACACCAAAGGGGAGCTGGAGTTGGCCATCACAGGTTGCAAGCCGGTTGTAGGCAAGGTGAACCTGCTTTAAGGGAAGGCAAACATCTCGGGACAAAGTCCTGCTTCTCTTTGTTATTTGGGGAATGTGTGGAGTGTATCCGGTCACTGGAAGCAACGTGTAATACATTCCTGGAAACAGCAAGTAATTACATGGAACATTGTTGGAGACAACGAGTCGTTACATAGAACACAGTCTTGGAAACAATGAGTTGTTACATAGAACACAGTCTTGGAAACAACAAATTGTTACATGGAACACATACTTGGAAACAATGAGTCGTTACATTGGGTTGTTGTGAGTTTTCTGGGCTGTATGGCCATGTTCCAGAGTTGTTACATGTAACACATTACCTATTTTTGGTAACAAGGAGGAAACAAAGTGATGTTTTGCACATCATGCAACAAAATATTGGTGGAACACATTGTTGGTGTACTGAAATTGTTTTCTAGTTACTTTTCAATGTTACTCTTTCAGAGTCATTTCGAACAGAATGGTTCAGGCTTATGGCGTTCTCTTATTTCTTCTGAAGTTCTTTTCCCATCGATGATCAAAATGGGAACAAGCAAGAGCAGCAAATTACTTTTCAAATACAAGGGGTATAAATAAATATAATAATAGTAATAGTAATAGTAATAGTAATAAAGCGAGAAGAACAAACTACTTTCAAAAAATAACTAGCCAATGTCAGATTTTTTACCCTGATGATTAAATTTGTTTCCAAATAAACAGAGATACAAGGGGCATTCATTAAATATGTCCCTGACCCACTTCCTGTGGACTGAGAGCAATGCAACTTGGCCATGGAGTCCTTCTCTCCATGGGTGCCACAATGTAGGGACACACACTTCTCCCATTTTTTAAACAACCCCATTTGTAGAAGTCGTCAGATTGCTCCAAAAGCCACGTTGAGACTGGGTTGTTGTAGGGTTTTTCGGGCTATATGGCCATGGTCTAGAGGCATTCTCTCCTGACGTTTTGCCTGCATCTATGGCAAGCATCCTCAGAGGTAATGAGGTCTGTTGGAACTAGGAAAAAGGATTTATATATCTGTGGAAAGACCAGGGTGGGACAAAGGACTCTTGTCTGCTGGAGCTAGGTGTGAATGTTTCAACTGACCACCTTGATTAGCATATAACGGCCTGGCAGTGCCTGGAGCAAACTTTTGTTGAGAGGTGATTAGATGTCCTCGTTTGTTTCCTCTCTGTTGTTGTGCTGTTGTAATTTTAGAGTTTTTAAATACTGGCAAGCATGTGGACCATTTCAACAGAAAGGAGGAAACCATGAAAATGAACAAAATCTGGCTACCAGTATTAAAAAAATCTAAAATTAGAACAGCACAACAACAGAGAGAGCCTGAGAGCATTTGACTCATTCCTGCCTCCAAAAAGGTGTGAGCAGCCGGGGTATCCAGCGAGCAGATACCTAATGCATTGGAAGATGGTCTTGGGTGACTTTTTCCACGGACCTCACATTCATCTTGAAATTTTGAGCTAGGTGGCGAATGGTTACATGGGGATTTTCCAAAATGGTGACCTCCACTTACTGGATGGTGTGATCATCAATAGCAGAGTAGAGTCACCCTGGAACGGGAGCTGTTTCCACCAAAGTCGGACCACATTGGAATGGACGATGCCAGTTCTTGACTCCATCATATGATGGGGAATCATCCTCATTAACCTCTTTCATCTCATCGAATGCCTCCTTAGCTGTGTGGCCCTGCAAGGAAAGGAACTTGAGGACTGTTCTGGGTTCATTCTCAAACTTGTAATATCAATACCATTCTTAGTTCAGAGTTGTAAATTGGCACGTAATCTATAGAGACGTATATCATTCCACATGTGCAGTTTCAGCATCCTGTGATAAAGAGAAGTGGCTCAGGGTAAATCTTTAATGAACGCCCCTCGTAAGAATAGGAAAAGTAATAATAATATAGTGAGAGGAACAAATTACTTCCAAAAAGTAACTAGCCAATGTCAGATTTCCCCCCTAATGATTAAATTTGTTTCCAAATAACCAGAGATAAGAGAGGAAAGTGGACATATATTTAGGACTAAAGGAAGCTATGTGATATGAGACATTCACCCGAATCAGCTCTACTTTGCTTTCCTTCCACTTGTTGATAGCAATACTGATGAGTTTCCCTTTCCAGAAGGAAATTAAAAATCTTTGGAAGCATCTTGAGTTTCTGGATCTTTTCATTTTGAGTGGCAAAGTCCCGGGTTTGCATCCAAACTGTTCCTTGAAACTTCTCTTGCATTCTTCCGTCTCTGTCTCCCATTGATCATGTACCCCCTCCAGTATGATTCGATATCCATGGTTTCGCTTACCCGGGGAAATGGGGCACGGCTAATCAACAGCAGTCTCAGACTTTGCCCGACAGCGAAGCAATTCAAAAATAGCCTTCCCTTCACCTTCTTATGCAATAATCCCAAAATCGAGGCAGGTTGGGTGATAAAGCAGGTGTGGTGACTCACCTCAGTGTTTGATTTTTATTTCTGTTGCCGTCTTGCGGCTTCTTCTTTTTTCCAACACAGCCAGCGGTCATGTATTAATAACCTCTCTCTAAAAATAGCAAGGTATTTTTTGGCATTCTTCTTCCCCCTTTCATTTCACCACACAGAACCAGGTATTTGCCTACTTAGGCCGTCTTTTGAAATGAATGGCAATCATTATCAAACAAGTGAGTCATGAGAGACAAGAGAGACATGGCTGGTGGAGTCACTGAAATGATTTGAAAAGTTTGCAGGTTTTATTTTAGGTTTTGGGAAGTTTATTAGGTGGTGCCATTCATAATAATAATAATGCAGCCCAAGAACAAGCCATTAGAACCAACGCCATCAAAGCCAGAATTGAAAAGTTGACAACAGATCCCAAATGTAGACTCTGCAAGGAAGCAGATGAAACAATAGATCACATCCTCAGCTGCTGCAAGAAGATTGCACAGATGGACTACAAGCAGAGGCACACCACCATTGCTCAGATTGTTATAGAGCAGGAATTTAGGGGTCTTTGCCAGAAGGCAGAGACCAATCTGACTCCTTAAAGAGTTTGTTACCCTGGCAAGACAGAGAGAAGCACCCAATCCCTGATTTTTCCCAATAAAAGGTCTCACCAAGTTGAAGGAAGTGCCACCGAGGTTTATTAGCGATTCAACTGAAAAGGATGCAGAGCAGCAATCATTCGCCAAGCAGAGCATGTGGTTACAGAAGTAAAGGCCATTTTTATAGAAAATACAGAGTTGTGAGTTTCAAAATTCCCGCTCCCCCTCTCGCCAACTTCAAGGGGATTGGCTGATGCCCAAACAGCTGGGAGGAGGCTTGGCCATCCCCCATGCATCAGGGCCAATCACAGGGCTTTCGCGGGGCGCCAGAGCCTATCAGGAGGCTCCTGCTGCCTCGACGCTCCAGCGAATCAGAAGGGAGGGAGGCGGGATGAAGGGAGACAATGCATTCTGGAGTGGATTATGGAGTTTTAATGTCCTTAGGCTTATCGAGTCCGGGGATCGGCCTTCCAGAGAAGCCACTTTATTGTCCTGAGATGGGTCTGTGATAAGCATTGATGGCTTAATCCTGGTTTTCCTCTTACAATCAGATAGGGCACAAAGGGGAAACTTTTGTGAATGTCCTTAGTGGAAAGATTTGAAAGAAAAACGGCTTGGAGGAAAAGAGGACTTTCCTAAGGTCATATTCCCCCCATTGTTATATGATTAAAAAGTCTGCCAAACGGAAATCCTAATGGTGGCCCAACTCCGAAGTCAAAAGGAGAGTCCCTTGTTTGTGAGATGGGGGACCATCAGGAGCCCAGGTGTGCCTCAAATGGAAAAATTCAAATACTTTTGTGGCATGATTTTCAGTAATAAATTGGTTACTTTCTGCTGTAAACATATGAAAATAGAGCATAAAGCCTTGATTAAATGATACACACCAAACTGACCAAGGCTTAACCCTTATTATCCAGCCTGGTGTCCTTGCCCTTAGCAAAACTATAAGTTACTATCTCTAATGGGGGGGGGGGGTCATGTTCGACTTCAGATGATCCATTGGAACTTGTGCCACAAATACCATCTGCCTGTGACAAAGAACTGGTGGGATCACAAGCCGGAAAAAGTTATGGAAAACGAACACATCAAACTACTCTGGGACTTCTGAATTCAGGTTGACAAAGTTTTGGAGCACAAGACTCCTGATCTCACAATCGTGGGGGAAAAAACAAGTATGGATAGTTGATGTTGCAATCCCAGGCAACAGCGGGATTGATGAGAAGCAACTGGAAAAGCTTACATGATACGAGAATTTGAAGATCGAACTACAAAGACTCTGGCACAAGCCAGTAAAGGTGTTCCCAGTGGTGCAGTGCCTAAAGACCTTGGCCTGCACTTAAAAACAATTGGCGCTGACAAAATTACCATCTGTCAGCAGCAAAAGGCTACGCTACTTGGATCTGCATGCATTATTCGCTAATACATTACACTGTCCTAGACACTTGGGAAGTGTCCGATGTGTGATTGAATACAAAAGCCAGCATTGTGATCTTGTTTGCTGTGTAGCAATCTTGTTATGTATCAAATAGTAATAATAATTTAATAACTACAACAAAGAAAAATAAAATAAAACTAGGTGCGGCAAAGATGGCAGAGTTCAATGGTTTAAAGGTATTCTGTTCAATTTAATTTTGGCAACATTCACAGGAGAGGTTGGTGCTCCTCAAAATGCTCTGGGCTTCAACATATCAAAAAGTTGTAACAACGCGTCTCCTTCTCTTTCCTACAAATCCGCACCAAATGATGTTAATATACGACATGGTCAACAGCCAGGAACATCTGGGGCCTTTGCCTTGGTCTCCAGCCAAAAGATAGCTGTTTCGCTTATTTAATCCAACATTGCAAACCCATCCCCACCCCAAAGGCTCACTCGAACTCTGTGCCAGAAAACAAGGCAAAACAAATGAAATATTCAACAAAATTGAGCTATTAAATAATAATCCAATGAAGAGAACATTCTTTCTAGTTGATTACTCCTATTAAAATGATATCTTACTTACTTGAGAGCTAGTGTGGTGTAGTAGTTTAAAGAAATCTTTAAACCCATCTTACAGTTTCTGAATGTATTTACAGTCATGGTGTCATAGCACTATTGCAATTAAGAATTAGATCTGCTATAGCATCATACTGTCATGGTGTCATAGAGCTATTGCGATTAAGAATTAGATCTGCTATAGCATTGTGCCATCATGGTGTCATAGCGCTATTGTGATTAAGAATTAGATCTACTATAGCATTATGCTGTCATGGTATCATAGCGCTATTGTGATTAAGAATTAAATCTACTATAGCATTATGCCGTCATGGTGTCATAGCGCTATTGCGATTAAGAATTAGATCTACTATAGCATTATGCCATCATGGTG